TCTTAGTTTTTATGAGTATTGGTGACACTGATAACATTAATTTGCACCATTCCAATTTTCAGTTAGACATCTGTGTTTCCTGCAATACAACTAAAAATAAGTGTTTGATGAAGTCACTTATCGTGAAGGCCTTGTGTGATAAAGCATATCTACGATAAGTGATGTCATCAAACACTTAGTATTTGTGGAATTGCAGGAACCACAGATCACAATCGTGTGATCAAAATTTGAATGGTGCAAATTGATGCTACCTGTGTCCCCAATACACATAAAAAATTTAGAAAACCTCTTTACCAACCCTTTAAAGGAGGTAAAATGAAGCTGTATTTATCACTCTGATCTGAACATGATATTATATATTTTTCTTCTACTCCATAATAATGTGATTTAATAGCAAAATGAAATGGGTATTTTACATCATACCTGTCTGCTCCAAATTAAAAATTAGATAATTTTGTTACTATATTTCTATATAATATAACAGCTAAAAGCAATATGCACACATACCAATAAAACAAGGTTTGTCGTTTTTTCTGAAAATAAAAATAGATAGAAAATACCTCCAGCTAAATTCTGAAAGATACAGCTGCCTCTGTAAGAAAATATTTCCAAATATGAATTCAATCATCTAGAATCTAGCTCAGAGGGTTAGGTTGTTTACACAAATTAAGGAATGCAAATGAAGGGTTAAATTTTTTTATTTTCTTGTTCTTTGATTATTTCAGCTTTACTTTAAAGTTCCTTTAAGATTTTTTGACAGGCTTCAATTGAGCATTAGAATTTGACATCAGTTGCTTGGTTACACTTAACAAATGGTGTGTGAAAATTTCATTCATAACTATAAATATACCGTCATGGTATCTACTTATTTCATTAGAAATGCGTTGTTTTGCGTAACAGAACAATAAAAGAACACCAAATTTGCAAACATTTAAGATTTACTAACTTAGACCAAAGTAGTAACTAACCAAAAACTTATGGAAGTAAAACTCATTTCATATCTTAAGAAATTACTCGTTCAGTGAACTATATTTTGTTTCATTAGAAATATGTCATTATGTGTAACAAAACAACAAGGGGTACTAATTTACAGCAATTTAAGATGAATTGTGATAAAGGTCAGTGTTAGGATTTGAGACGAATGACGTCAGTGAAGCCATCAATTATTCATTTTCTATTTCTATTAACTTTCTTATACAATGACTATTAACTTCTCTTTATCTCCTCTCAAACCAATTGCTTTCAAATTTAATTTCACCAGAGGACAATTTACTTCTTATATTTTCAGAATATCTTTCATTTATTTTTTTTTTACTCTTTTCAAATAAAAGGTCAATTTTTTCAATCATTCTTTTTACGTTTCATTACTAGAAATTAACTTTTCATATTTATATATTACGTGATCTGAACTACAGAGAGAATTTTTCATTGTTTTTCTTTCAATCATGGAATTGTAGATCATTAAAAAATATAAAATTAAATAACTGTCAAGGTCAAAATCAGGGACAAACTATAGAAATTGACAAATAAACGACATCTATGTGCTGAAAAGTTTGAGAATTCTGGAGAAACAGTGAAAGTGTCTGTTATCAATCACTTTCCCTGGCCTCACATTTTGTAGGAATTTCCCTTTTGAGTCCAAACACCGAGGTTTTCTTTGTTTTTACCCCTTCAAATACTAGCCACAGCTTGGTAGTCACTCTGGTTTAATGGGTTTACCTGAAGATCCAGGTTTCAGAGGACTGTTTTGGCAAATTTTCACATTACTCAAAACAGTGCTGCATGTCTTCATTGTCTCAATTAGGTGCAGTAAAATAGGACATAAAATACCATTTCATTTCAATTTGAAACTTAGTGAAAAACAGAAATTATAATCAATATGTCATTCAATCAGGAACTCGTTTTAAAATCCCTTCATTAAATAGCATCCTAGAATTATAGCCACCATTCATCATCTTGTCATTGATTTTCTCCTACCAATCCTGTCACTAATCCTAATTTAATCCTTTAAGATTGTAACGATTACTTCCATTGATAAGAAATTTCTACTTTAATTCCATTCATAAGACTCAATCATGTCCCTCGCCTCCAATCAGCAGTTAACAAAACAGATGTTAGCAACACAGATTGCAATCAATAACACAGATGGATGTCAACAAAACAGATGGATGTCAACAACACAGATTGATTTCAACAAGACAGATGGCACCTAATGGCTGTCAACAGTATACAGATTTCTGTCAACATCAAGGATGTCTGTACGGATTGCTGTCACCAAATGGCTGTCAGCAACACAGATTACTGCACACATCACAGATAGCTGTACTGATTGCTATCACATCACAGATGGCTGTACAGATGGCTGTCAACAACGCAGATGAGTTTGCAGATTGATGCAAACAACACAGATGGCTGTACAGATTGCTGTCAAGAAAAAGGGTGACTGTACAGATTGCTGTCAACAATACATATGGTTGTACCGATTGCTGTCAACATTACAGATGATTGTTCAGATTGCTGTCAACAACACAGATGGCTGTACAGATTGCTGTCAACATCACAGAAGGCTGTACAAATTGCTGTCAACAACACAGATTCTATTCATAAGACTCAATCATCATCCTGGCCTCCAATCAGCAACCAACAGCACAGATTGGACCAAGGGCTGTCAACAACACAGATGGCTGTCAGCAACACACATGGATGTCAATAACACAGATGGCACCAAATGGCTGTCAACAACACAGATTGCTGTCAACAACACAGATGGCTGTACAGATGGATGACAACAACACGGATGGCACCAAATGGCTGTCAACAACGCAGATGACTGTACACAACACAGATGGCTGTACTAATTTCCGTCAGCAAATGGCTGTCAACAACACAGATTGATGTCAACAACGCAGATAGCTGTACAGATGGCAGTCTACAGTACAGATCGCTGTACAGAAAGCTGTCAATGACAAAGATGGTTTAACAGATTGCACAGATGGGAGCAAATGGCTGTCAACATCACTAATGACTGTCAACATCACTGTAGACTGTCTACATCACTAATGACTGTATACTCATTTATTTTAGTTGGTTACAAATTGCTGGACTTTGATGGGTCAATATTGAACAAGGAATACGTAATTGAAACAAAGGATTAACTATGTGAGAAGATAATAAAAATACCATCAACCTAAATTACTTTCAATTCACAGTCCCCAACCATCAGGGGAATAGAGGATGAAATAGAAAATTAGTTCTCTGTTCTAATGGATTGAGTTGAATCATTTAATGCATAGCACACAACTGGTCATGTGTAGACAAAATCTAGGTTGAAGCTATCCAAAGTTTATGAAGCGAGTGCAAAGTCCCCAAACCCAGGTTTTCTTCCAGAGCAGATTTGAAATAAATTGTGACCCTGTCCAACTCACTAGCGAAAAAGCTGAAGACAAACTTTTCTTCGGGTCCGTTTCTTGAGGATTACCTAAGCAAATTACAAAACAAAAACATTTTCAAATTGAGTCCAACATTTAGAAGAAATGTTACAGGAAATGTTACCGTACTTAAAACAAGACAAATGTGGGTCTAACTGCAGATTATTTGTCACACCAACATAATGGTGAAGTCAATCAACCCTTTTCTGAGTCAATTTCTTGCATGTCATAAACAGATCACTGTAAAAAAAAATGGAATGTTTACCATCCATCAATACAGGGTGAAGAGTTGAAGTAGTCTATTGGAAATTGATACATTGTTATTGCCTGGCGCTGGAATTGGATATTGGTTAGTTCCGGCAATGTCTGATGAACTGATTAATAAATCATGTAAGAGAAATCAGTGGAACTAGATAGATGATAGATTGTTAAATAAACAGTCTATACTATTGGTCCTTTCTCTTGTCATTTAGAGCTGGGTATAGACCTTATTCACACCTTGTTTTGAGACACAGAAAGCGAGATTCATAACGCAAATTACATCATACATAGCAAAGATGGCGACGTCATATGAATAGCCTATATGACGTCACTAAACTTAATGGGCTAAAAACTGACCTTTTGCAGATAAGTGTGATGTGTAAATTAAATCTGAAAGTATCATTAAATAGCTTAATCAATTTTTTAAGGTGGCTCTAAAGACGTCAAGTTGGCGATTTGCTTTGTTAAGAGTATGGATTCAATATGGCTGACATGTGAGTAAGGTCTATTGCCAATCATGCCGGGATACGATAATAATCACGAAATGAGGGATACGATATGATATGATACAATACGTATCATCGGGATATCATCGGGGTACGAGAGGAAATTTAACTTTGCATCAAGTTTGTAACAGTAAAATTGGAACAACTTTATGATGTGGGCATAAGTGGCGATAATAATCATGATATGAGGGATACGATACGATACGTATAATCGCGATGTGGGGTATGAGAGGAAATTTAACTAAGTGGCTCCCATCCAAACCATTCCCAGAGATTGTTTGCTTTTGTTTTTAAGGCAGTCGTGGCATTCTATTTTTTTTTTTTTTATTGTTGCCCTTGGTGCAAATGCAATTTTCTGTATTTAAGGAACACATGATTTTCACTTATTGAGATTTTCTGACCACAATGAGGAGTGAACGGGCATACTTCCTACAAATGATATTGTTCTGTTTAAATAATATAATTTGGATGGATAAGTTTCAAACTTGCGTCTATATATTTTTTGTTCAAATTCACTTTTAAAGTGGTAAAGTTTCTTTATAAACAACAAAAATATAACAAAGATACCTAGACGTCTTTCTTAAATAGAGAAAAAATGACATAGAAAATGATAAATACAAGAAACAACACCTTTATACAACCAACAGTAAACAAAGGATATTGATTTTCATAATAACTGAATAAATTTTATAGCACGGAAGTGAAAGACATTAAGATTAATGGCAAATCACACACAGAGAGCGTTAAAAAGCTCTTTAATAGCATGCTGGTTCAATATTCTAGACTGTTTGTTTACTCTAGTCTTTTACGTAACATTTAGGCTACCTAGATATTCTGTTATAAGGCTAACAGAGGATCTTAGGTTACCTAGATATTCTGTTATAAGGCTAACAGAGGATCCTAGGTTACCGAGATATTCTGTTAATAGGCTAACAGAGGATCCTAGGTTACCTAGATATTCTGTTATTAGGCTAACTGAGGATCTTCGGTTACCTAGATATTCTGTTATTAGACTAACAGAGGATCCTAGGTTACCGAGATATTCTGTTAATAGGCTAACAGAGGATCCTAGGTTACCGAGATATTCTGTTATTAGGCTAATTGAGGATCTTAGGTTACCTAGATATTCTGTTATTAGGCTAACTGAGGATCTTAGGTTACCTAGATATTCTGTTATTAGGCTAACTGAGGATCTTAGGTTACCTAGATATTCTGTTATTAGGCTAACAGAGGATCCTAGGTTACCGAGATATTCTGTTATTAGACTAACAGAGGATCCTAGGTTACCGAGATATTCTGTTATTAGGCTAACAGAGGATCCTAGGTTACCGAGATATTCTGTTATTAGGCTAACTGAGGATCTTAGGTTACCTAGATATTCTGTTATTAGGCTAACTGAGGATCCTAGGTTACCTAGATATTCTGTTATTAGGCTAACTGAGGATCTTAGGTTACCTAGATATTCTGTTATTAGGCTAACTGAGGATCTTAGGTTACCTAGATATTCTGTTATTAGGCTAACTGAGGATCTTAGGTTACCTAGATATTCTGTTATTAGACCAACTGAGGATCTTAAAATGAAATGAAAATGAAATGAATAGAGTTTTACGTCCTACTCTTCTGCACCTTGTGGGCTAATGAAGACGGGCAACGCCATGCAGGGTGCCATGAGGGAAATTTTGCCAGGACAGCGGCATTAGCCTGCTCTTTTTCGATTTTACTGAGGATCTTCGGTTACCGAGATATTCTGTTATTAGACCAACTGAGGATCTTCAGTTACCTAGATATTCTGTTATTAGACCAACTGAGGATCCTAGGTTACCTAGATATTCTGTTATTAGACCAACTGAGGATCTTCAGTTACCTAGATATTCTGTTATTAGGATTTTATATTTACACTGGTAGTGATGGTGTCACGATGACATGTTCAACTCGGCCTTCAAATGTCCAATAATCACAATCCTCGACAGTGGCCGTGCCAGGGATACAAAAGGGGGCAGATTGAGGGGTGTGGCAGGGGGTCTGAGCTTGAAATGCGACAGCTCTGTGGGAGCTTCATAGACGTAAGCTTCCCATGGAGTGTCTGAGAGGGTTCTCCCCATGAAAATATTTGAAAAATAGAATTGATTTTGTGCATTCTGCCATATATTTGAGGCAAAAAACTAAAAAAAGCATATCTCATATTTTGTTAGAAATAAAAACAATTGGGGGTACAAACTATTTTTGTAGGGGGACAAATTCACTGTAAGTGAAATAGGTAAACTTAAAGATGACTTTAATCATGTGTGTAATTTTGATATCAATGAAGAGACTAAGAACAAGAGTTAAGTATAGAATGAATTTATTTTGGCAGCCATACACCTATCCTGCTGCTATTTCCTGCTAGGTCTGGGTAACAGCTGGTGTGGTGTATCTACCTGAGTTCCTAACATAACTCTACTAGGGCATTCTGATCTTGTGGTTTTCTCTTGTACATCTGTTAAGGTCAAATCAACTAATAGAGATTTATATTCCACTTTTTTTCCATCATATTTTCTATTGTTGATTGATATCTTAAAGCACAATATTAAATATTAAAGACAATTTCAATAAAAGGCAAGAAGCAAGATATATCCATTTCAAGACACTATTTTGTTAAGTTAGTTTAATTATCAGGTCTTGTGGTACTATGTCATCCTGTGAAATGGTGAAAGCAGGAGGGAAAGAAAGGCATGTGAAAAATTCAAGAAAATTAAACATAGTAGGCGTTTTTATTTAAGCAAATTGTATCTACACAGATCAAAGTGTGCATTTATATAAGCGAAACACCTACAACAACTTGCCTACAATACACATTTATTTGAGCGTTTGGCAAAGCACTTATCTCAATCATGGCTTACGGCGCTTTGTTGCGATTTGTTTGAGATTCAAGATGGGGGGCAACATTGACAAGTAAAAACATTTCGAGAACTGGTTCTTAGATTATAAGAATAAAGACAAAAATATTATTTTTACAAGTGTTTGAAGAAAATTGTATTCCATTGACAGATTTAACTGTTCAATAATCAGTGTATTGAGATTATTGGTTAGTAAACAAGTAAACATTGCAGCTCTGTTATACAATGATGCTGAATGGCACAATCAAAGCAACAAGTACATGTTATACAAATGACAAAGTAAAATCAACCAAATGTAACAGAACATTGTGACACAAAATATACAAAACTAAGTCAAACAGACAGGTTGGTGACAAACAAGACCATAATGACCAGGTCCAACAGATAAGATCATCAAGTCTCTGTGATGCAGTTGATACCAATTGACAGCTTTCAGCAATATCAACAGTCTAGAGTGGAATAATTAACCGAATTTCTCTAGTATAAGAATATAGGTTGATGATACAATACACTTTAATCTCTCTGCTATAATTCAAGTCAGACAGTGGTCATGATTTTATAATACTAAATAGGTTTAGTGATGGAGGTTTGCTGAAAGTTAATGTCAATTTGAATTAAAGTTAGATTTCTCTGGACAGTATATATTGAATGTAAATTGTCAGGGTATATATGTAGGCTAAATGCCAATCTACAAGGTATACTTTGAAAGTATTTGAATCAAATCTTACTTCATTGTTAATTCCATATAGAGGTGTGTAAACAGCTACCTAAATAGAAACTGCCTGAAGCGGAGGCCAAATATGAAAGGGGTCGCTCAGTGTCAAGGCCCCATGAGGCAAGGCGCCAAAGGCCCCTGGAAGCCAACAAATTTCAGATAGCTCGAGATGAATTTAGAGGGCTTAATTTTCACTTCAAAATAAGATCACATTGTGTGAGGGGATAGCTATGGCCCAAAGGTCCTCCCTAAATACCCTTCTGTGTGTAAAGTCAAATTGAAACTTGGTTGTTTATTCTATAAAACTCACATTGTTTATTTGTCATCTATCAACCCAAACAACGTTCAAATTTAATAAGAACATATAGACTTAAAATTAATAGTAGCCCATGGTGGTGAAAAACGAGAAGTTATATAATTTAACCCAATTCTGTATTTCCTGTGACAGGACACAGTGTAAATTGAGCTAGTATTTTAACAGACAATAGAGAGCTTCCTGACAATTGCCTTCAGAATAGAATTTCTAATTATCTAAACTAATATTGGCTTTTTACGTTTGTTATGACGTTATACAAATTTCACTCTTGATTTTTCCGAACTTTGGACTAGATTTTGATTAACAGAATGTCGTGCTTGTACAGATTTTATCATTACGTTTATCATGAAATTGTTCTAAATAATTGATAAAATATTCTCGATTGCTCACTCCTGTGCAGTAGCAATAGCTTTTCAACAAGGTTTGTTAAAATTTTACACCTCTCTTACAAAATACTGTAATCTATAGAAAATACAGTCACCTTTAAAAAATAGTCACCTATAGAAAATACAGTCACCTAGAAAATACATCACCTTTAGAAAATACAGTCAACTTTAGAAAATACAGTCACCTTTAGAAAATACAGTCAACTTTAGAAAATACAGTCACCTTTAGAAAATACAGTCACCTTTAGAAAATACAGTCACCTTTAGAAAATACAGTCACCTTTAGATAATACAGTCACCTATAGAAAATACAGGCACCTTTAGATAATAGAGTCACCTTTAGATAATACAGGCACCTTTAGAAAATACAGGCACCTTTAGAAAATACAGGCACCTTTAGATAATAGAGTCACCTTTAGATAATAGAGTCACCTATAGAAAATTCAGTCACCTTTAGAAAATACAGTCACCTATAAAAAATACAGGCACCTTTAGAAAATACAGTCACCTTTAGATAATAGAGTCACCTTTAGATAATAGAGTCACCTATAAAAAAAGAAAATTCAGTCAACTTTAGAAAATACAGTCACCTTAAGAAAGACTATTACCTTATAAAATACCCAAAACACACATATACTTGTGAAGTTATCTGAAGAAATTAACTGATAGTTTTGAAACATACTACCTTCTACTTTCAAGAGTAAGTGAAAACTCACTAAGATGGCTAATGACAGAAGGTGACAAGGTCCAGTGAGATCAGTTCAGTTAAGAAATTTAGAGAGGGCACTAATTAGAAGATTAGTGAAGAAGTTAAGATAGGACAGCAATTCATTAAAACAACCAGGTTTCTTTAAAATACACCCTGCCACTAAGTCAGTATCATTATGTATTAGGAGATGAAAGATTATGAGGATTTGTAAAATATTGAATTAAAGATGAATGAAATAAAAAGAGTAGTTCATATATTTTTTTCTTTTTCTACATACATGTATAAAAATAATTGTTTTTACATCATGATGACCCTGTAAATTGTTGAAACATTGTGTAGCCTACAATTAAACTCAGGAGTAGTATATTATAATATTGTGTTTTGTTATTTTATGTAATCTCTACATGTCACTTAGAATTATTTACATATAGGGTGAGGAAGCAATTGGGATATATCACTGGTGTAGAAATTATGAAAACAGTAGAAGGGTATTGCATTCAAATTTTTTTGAATTTTTCTTTTTTTTTTTTAATAAGAATTGTAATAATATAGTACTGATAGTCTTAGAATGTCTTTGAGTTGATAAAAATATAATATTTTGTAAGGTTACATTGTAAAGAAGCACATTTCTCTCTTAGAAATTTCAACCCTAAAAGTCCAAATTTTGGCGGAAAATTGTCCGCTGTAAAAACAAATTTTGAAGATATATTGTGTATATGCTTATATCTTTAAGATATTTTCAGACTAACAGTACTATTTTGAGGCTGCTTTTCCAATTCTCATAAAAATAACGGGAAAAATTAAAAAATCTGTTTACTTTGCACTGACAATAGAAGGGTAGAAGTTGAACATGAAAGGGGAAACAATGCAAGTCTGTTATAGGAATACTACCTCTTAGAACAGTCATAAACTTTTAATTCTTAAACTACTCTAAAAGGGACAGATACCCCTTTCTTGTTACCAATCATACTTTAGTCTCAGAAACAGGATTTTTTTAGACAAGCTAATCAGTAAAAGTGTGCATAGCTCACCATTCAAATTTGGGTATTCAAATTCATGTGTCCACGTTTGAAAGTTAAAATGACGAGTTGTTTGCTGACTATCTATAAATCAATTCCCCAAAATTCATCAATTCATCAATGGACCTATCTGATGTCTTAAATATACAACACAATCCCTGGATAATCCAATATATCCAATAAACTAAGTAGTCATTGAAAACAATCAGTGTTTTGAAAGAATTATCTGCAGTTTTATGGATCTATTGGTATTTAGAGTCAGTGTTCCTTTAAAGTATTATATCTACAAGAATGTTGATTATGTCAACTGTAGTCCAGATAAAGAAATAAGTCAGTAAGCCAATAAATTAATAGAAAGTCTTACAAATGTTCTGTGTTTTATACAGGCTTCATGTCAGAGGTAGTTAACTTGATTTGTAGGTCTAGTTTATCTCCATATGGTAGGGGACAGAGGCTACAACCAGCTGACTCTAAGAGACATATTATAGCTAATTTACAGATGAAAGTTTTGGTATCATCAGAAACTTTGTTAAGAAACTAGAGTCGGATTTAAATCCACAACCCTACTTGGATCTATGAGTTCCAATAAATAAATATTATCTTGAAGTTTATGAAATCAATTATTATCTATGTCCCTTTCTACATCTCAGATCACAGGAACTACAATCAGTTTGGTAGACTGCAGAGTGTCTTTTCCACTGATAAATCAATCTCAGGAGACATGGGTTTCATAACAGACAAAATATCTTTTTGAGGCTCAATAAAATCAAAACTGTTGTATTCCCCCCTCCCCTTTTTAAAACTTGTGCTTCTACCCCTAGTTACAAATGTGTAAGCATGCCCTGTCTCACTGGCAGTGCCTGTCCGATCATCTATCCAAGTCCTCATAATATTTTGAAAACTTTGCCTAATATAGGAGGTGCACCCCTAAATGTAATAAAATAATTTTTAGATGTCTATTGGTGCACCATATAAGGAGATATGCCCATAAATTCATTTATTCATTCATTTTTTCATTCAACACTCTTTCCCACTCCTGAACACCTTCTAAGGAACCATGCCTTCGACCTTGTATCTGTATAACCAACAGTAGAATCCTCAATTGACCTCTGACCTTTTTATTACAATGAAATCTGTATTAAATAGCTATCTAAATAGCTTATATAATTTCACACATCGAATACCGTTTCATTCATCAGTCTACGAGTGAAGGCATGAATCAATTCATTATCAGGATGATATGTTACCCCATTAACAGGCTGTTACCCCATTGCCAAAAACTATCGCCACTGAAAGTCATAAGAATGAAGAAGGACATTACCTTACTATCCATGTACTCTGAGTATATTCACAATAGATGGTGAGAGTAATTCCACTTCCAGCACACACGACCCACTTATCTTTGTCATTTTGTGAATGCCGATTCCGTCAGTTGATATCTGTGACTGTCACACGTTGATATACACCACACAACGACCATAATACACACACCTCGTGCCAGTAGCCAGCGCGCGCCATACTTCTCAACGACATTGGCATGAAAGAATTTGTATTGCAGGTTACCAGTGTAAATCCTGTGTTTAATCGATACAGTTTAAGTGTAAAGAGAATATACAAGTACAAAACTACCATTTTCACTACAGTTTATATATCAGACCAGCTTTCTAAGTTTATTACTAGTGTTTAAGATACAGCACACTAGATTGGGTATTCAAGGTCACGTTTCAGATTTGGCAGTCAAATCTGAATTTTTTAACATCAGTTATCAATCTTTCAAAATGAACTGAAATAGAGTTTTGTGTTCGCTTTATGAGTATGACCATTGCATAGCAGCTATGCTATGCTATACTTTTCTAGGGGGGCAAATGCCGCCACTGGGTCACAGATACTAGTCGCGCTGGTTGATGTCAAGATTAAATTTTAGCTGGAAGGTAGAAATTGAGCAACAAATTAACATAATAAGGTTGACACTGGGAAAATCATGCCAAGAACACCGCTGTTTCTAGTAATATTTAGGTAAGAAGATCGAGCAGGGGCCACCGACAATTTTTTCATGACCCTCCGTCTGAATTAGGAAAACTGGGTTAATAAATCTAATGGTATTGTCAGCTGCGGACACAATTACTGGTTACTTTGCTAGACAACTTCCCGTTACTGAGACTAAGGCACGATTGATCAGAGTGTTGGCGAATTTGTTCCTTTGAGGGTATTGCATCACCACTTGGAAAGATTGTCAGTCGTTATGGACTAAGTTACCACATGTATGCTGCTGATACACAGCTCTATCTGGGATTTAAATCCTCTTCGAATACATATTTCATGAACAGTAAATGTGCACTAGAAAACTGTATTTCTGACATTCGCAACTGGATGTCAAGAAACTTTCTAAGACTTGATGATGATAAAACAGAATACCTACTTATTGGGTCAAAGAATAATCTAAATAAATTACCCCCATCGACATTTATTAATGTTGGCTCTGCCCATGTCACTCCTAATCAATCGGCTAGAAATATAGGTGTTGTCTTTGATAAGCACATGGCCATGGTCACACAATGTATGTAAAAATTGTTTTTATCATATCAGAAATATTGGCAGGATAAGAGAATTCTTAACAACTGATGCCACGAAATCATTAGTACATGCCTTTGTTACATCGAGGCTAGATAATTTCAACTCGCTTCTCATTGGTTTACCAGTAAAGCACATTAATAAACTTCAAAGGGTTCAGAACACGGCAGCTCGTCTGATTTCCTTAAAACGAAAAACCGACCATATCACTCCTATTCTAAACGACCTCCATTGGCTCCCTATACAATATAGACTAGAATTTAAAGTATTGTTACTTGTTTACAAATGTTGGAATGGTTTAGCTCCAAAATATCTTTCTGAACTCCTTACTCTTCACAACCCTATTCGTGTAACTAGATCTGCTCAAGACAAAAATCTCCTGAAACCTATGCCTGTAAAACTCCGCACATATGGAGAGCGATCATTTGCATATCAGGGTCCTATACTGTGGAATAAACTTCCAGTTGGGATACGTTCATGCCCCTCAGTTCTAAGTTTTAAAACATCTCTAAAAACTCATTTGTTTTTAAAGGCTTATCCTACTATAGATCTTAATCTTTAAATTATTTTAATGTATTTAAATGTGTTTTAAATCTATTGTTAAATTTATATATTATAATATTATTTCTTAATATTTACATCAAGAATTGAATATTTTAAATTTTTGCTATTTTAATATGGATTTTATATGTTAATCTTCGTTGATTTATCTATTGTACAGCGCCCCTGAACACTGTTATGGTGAAAGGAGCGCTTTATAAATGTTGTTAATAATAATAATAATAATATTGCAGATTCACACAAGTAAGATAATTCAACGATAAATTCTGTAACTGTAGTCTGTATTTGTAATAGAATATAAAGAGTTACGTCCCATAATACTCTAACAAATATAGAATTTGAATAAGTTGCGCACTGTTTGTTTTGAATTGTAGGATTCGATTTAACATTTCACTCTGATAAATTTGTTAATTGGTAAATCCTCATTGAGTTGTGAAGGAGACTTGCATTAATAGAATGTACTCAACAAAAACTTGAAATGAAAATATCACTTTTGAAAAACAAACTTGTAGGGTGGAATATTTGCAATCAGATGTTCTGCATTAAAAGACAATGATTCGGTCTATTTTCTGACCCTGGACATTGCAAAACCAACACGTTTTCATGAGATTTTTGCATTTGTGAACTGAAAACTAAACAACTACAACAGAGGCAAATAATTTGATCAAATATGACAAATCTTTGATTGATCTGCTAGAAGCAGACCATACTGTTTTCACCTAATGGTACCCTTTGGAAGAGTCCACTACTACACGATTTTTACGATTTTGATGAATGGGATTGTTGTATTCCAACTGAAACTTGGATCAATTGTATGAACAATATCGATTTACGTTACCTAATCGCTAGAGAATATAACTGTTTGTGTTATTTTTTCTACAATAATGGTTCTAAGGGTGAGATGACTCGTGGCCAGGATCAGTTTGATCACCTAACTTGAAGAACTTGGAGAATTTGTTTTGTATTCTTATGATTATAGACAGTTCCATTTTACTAGTATCCATACAGGCCTACCGATTCAACAAAGCCTGTAGATTTGTGTCAGGCGCCTTCCCTTGGCTCTTGTTTGTATAAAATATCTCACGCATTGACTGTCATGGTCAACGTCATCAATACCAAATCAACAAAAAAATCAAACAAATTCAAAATACATTTTAAGTGGGGCAATTTATCATAATCTACACGACATCGCTCCTGGGAATTTTGAAATAAATTTTAATTAATCAACTCTTTATCGTGATTCAAAATCCATAAAAAAAATCTCAAAATATCTCTGACACATCAATTTTAACTGTTAATTTTATTAAAACACTTAAACGAATACTAGAGGAATAGTTTCGACTCATTCACTGAAAGCCCAACCATGCAGATCACAACCCTTCTTGCTGTCATTGCCATTACTGTCGTAACCGGACAACTTCCTTTCCGCAGAAATGTCGGCGGCAGTTTTGCTGGTGATGGCCTAGGTTCAAATTTTTTCCCATTTCCCGGAGGAAATTTTGGACAACCAAACGGTAAGTGGAATATTCTTATATTTTAAAATTCGAACTCAATGAATGTGGCACACCCAGCGATTTGTCAAATTCGCCAGGATGCCGACACTTGCTTTTATGAGTTAAAATTCCAATTTTTTGTTGATGGCTATAATTTTTTGTTGATGGCTATAATTTTTTGTTCAGGGCTATCAGTACTACCGGGATCATTTGGCCAAGCAGGCGGTAAGTAGAATATTGTTATAAATTAAAAAGTCGAACTTAATAAATGTGCCGCTCCAAGCGATTGGTCAAGTTCGTCCAGATGTCGACACTTTCTATCAGGCGTAAAAACTGTAGTTGCTGTAAGATTCTTCCAGTTTCTAGGTCGACTCGAGCCCTCCTTTAGAGAATTGTTTCCGGAATCAATATTTTGAAACAACAATTTTAACTGGGATGTGTTTTCAATTAGGCAAAAACTGTTGTCTTTGCAATCACTTATCTTTTATGGCAGCGCTTTAGGTAGACAAACAGTAAACACCATTAAGGTAGACAACGAATAAACAGTATATCTATCGAATATTATAACTATATCTTTGCAATATGTTTTCTTCACTTTGTCAAATTCGGCATGAGACATTTGACTCATTTGCTGTGATAACGGCCCTGAAACAGACCAACAACAGGGCCATAACCAGGGTCTATTTTCTATGAGGCAAAAATCTTGTTGTCTTTTATGTCTACTAGTCTTCTTTGTAACGATTTCGGCAGACTTCAAACGGTAACCACCTTTACCGTAGACATTAAATAAGAGATATACTCAGCGGATATCGTGTTTATACTTGTAATTTTTTTAACAAATTGTTTTGTTGTTGTTGTCTAATTTCGGCCCTGATCAATGCGCAATCAAACAACATAGGCTCACCTATATATCTGATCATTGTCTATACTAGAAACGAATTTGTGACATTTCTAATAAACTGTGACTAGCTTTTGTTTTCGTCTCGGTTAACGCACTCTATATACGGATTTGCTTACGTTACCATTATGAAATAAACATAGGCTACATAAAGTTGATTTTCGTGTTTCTTGTACTGGTTGCAGAAAGACAAGATCTGCAGGTCAAGTACACCATCACTATCACCATTGTTTTAGCTAAGCTAATCAGTAATACTGTATTTTTAGATTTATTTATTTAGATCTTTGTACAGTTTGAGTACCTCTGAAGACTGCACGCAAATCACACAATCCTTTTCAAAATGGAAATTTCACTTTCTTTTTCTATATTTTCTACACGAAAAGACAAGTCGTCATTTTAACTTTCAAATGCGGATAATTCTGGCTCACCTTCCTCCGATGAGCTGTGAACACTACTGATTAGCATAGCTTAAAAAAAGTCCGTTTCTTAGACCAAGGTACCATTGGTCAAACGGATAGTGAATATCAGCAAGTTCAAGAAGAATAGACTCTGGAAACTTGACCATGCAAAACACCATCACAGTTATAGCCTTAATGCCGTTACTAAACAAATTCCTTTTGGCAGAAATTTCGATGCAGTCTTGATGGTGATGCTTAAGCTTCTAATCTTTTTTCAGGACAATTTCCGGGATCATTATTAGGTCAACAAGGCCGTAAGTAGAGTCTTTTTAAAATAACAATTCAGATTCGATATTACATGAATTATGGCTGGGTGATATTGGTTCTGTGACAATATTTCATGTTAACTACCATATATCAAGATGTGGCGATACTTCGGTACTTTTTTTTAATCAGGCGCTATTATTTACGATTTGCATCATTTTGAATCACCACCAGTGAACTAAAGCTCCTGTAAATCGTGATATACAGCTTATTACACCACTACCCCAAGTTGAATGGTTTTACGATATTGATGTCATTATCTGCTCAAGCTTTTCTGCATCTTAAGGACATGCCGGAAACGGAGGAGAAAACTTGATGTACATAGAGCGTCCTCAGGCCAATATCAATAACAATATCGATATCGATATAGATTAATTCCAATAAACTACACAGTTTCAAACTCCGTTTGATTTCAATGTATATCAGAGCTATCGACAGAAGGACAATACATAATATGGCTAACTTTTAAAGTCGTTCTGTCGAATGCTCTGATTGGCTGTTTTCGATAGCGTATCCAATCAAAGTGCTGCATTTACAAGATACAAGAAAGTGCCAAACGATGTCAAGTATTGATGGAAGTTCGAAATTATAAAGGCATTGTGAAGATGTTTTCGGATATGAATATGATATAATTTGTTTGTCTCCACAGTAAATGAACCAACAGTAACTAACTGTGTAACTGGACACAATGGTAATAGTTTAGAAGTATACATCAGACCTTCCCAACCACAGTTCAACCCCTTCGTGAGTATATGATTGATACCATTTGTTTCCCTACTTGCGAACCCATGGTGGTGAATACGGATGGCGTGGAATGGTCGGAAGTACATTTGCGTTGTAGACATAAACATTTACTACATGTACGTTGTCTTTTATGCGTTTTGGGCGCATAATAATTGTCCTGTTTTATAGACGTATCTACTTTATCTTGTACGCACTGCTTTGAAGGCGTATATTACTGTGTCGTGTACGTTCTGCTTTGTAGGCGTATATCACTTTGTCCCACATGCTCTGCTTTGTAAGCGTATATTACTTTATCGTGTACGCTCTGCTTTGTAGACGTATATTACTTTGTCGTGTACGTTCTGCTTTGTAGGCGTATGTCACTTTGTCCCACGTGCTCTGCTTTGTAAGCGTATATTACTTTGTCGTGTACGGTCTACTTTGTAGGTGTATTTCACTTTGTTCTTATACGCTCTGCTTCGTGTCCTGTACGCTAGAAGACGTGTATCACTTTGTCCCGCATGCTCTGCTTTATATATCAATATCACTTTGCCTTGTACGCTCTGCAATTTTTTTGTGCGTATACCACTCTGTTCTGTTCGTTAGGGCGTATACCACTTTGTGCTGTTCGATCCGCTTTTTGAGGTATACCACTTTGTGCTGTTCGCTATGCTTTCTGGGCGTATACCACTTTCTGGTGTTCGCTCCGCTTTTTTTTTGGGCGTATACCACTTTGTGTTGTTCGCTCCGCTTTTTTTGGGCGAATACCGCTCCGCTTTCTTAACGTATACTACTTTGTCCTCTAACGCATTGCTTTGGATACGTTTATTACCGTTTCCTATGTGCTCTACTTTGTAGGCGGATATTACTTTGACTTGTATGTTTCATTCATTTTATGTTTCGTTTTGTAAAGTTTTCTACTCTGTCCTGTACGCTCTGCTTTGTAGGCGTATATCGCTTTGTCTTATGCGCTCTGACCTGTATTACTGTGTCTTGTAGACTCTGCTATGTAGGCGGATTGTTATAATTTGTACTTTATTATCTGCGTTGTGGGCGTATATTACTTTGTCCTGCACTCTCTGCTTTCTGGACGTCTACCACTTTGTACCGCTTTGTACTGCTTTGTGGGCTTATACTATTATGCCTTATACGCTCTGCTTTGGAAACGTATATTACCTTGTCATGTATGTTCTACTGTGTTAAAACATCTGATCGTGTACGTTCTGGTTTGTAGATGAGTTTCCCTCTGTTATGTACGCTTCCTTTGTGAACGTATGTCATTATGTTCTGTGCTCTCTGCTTTGTAGGCGTCTAATTTTATTCATGTATTGCTCACTTGTTACAGACAAAACGTTCATGGAACAGAGTTTTTGATTATTCTAGTTCCACAAAAAATCCCCCCCCCCCCCCCCCATTCCTCTCTAAAAAAAATAGATCTGCATTCTAGTCAAATTACAAGAAACCTATTGTACTTTTCATCTTAGATCCAGTTCCAAGGAGGAAGCTCACCATATGAAATTGAAGTACGAGTGGACTCATCTGATCTCCAAGGAACTTTCACTGTTGCCGTTACTGACATGTCTACTGATAATGCTTTCTGCTCTGCCTCGGAATTGGGATCAATCTCTACCAAGTAAGTTACTTAAATATAAGTTTATGTTCCTTGTTCTATTCAGATGAAAAATAAACGGGTTTTGAGTCCAAATTTTCTGAAAAAGATTGTGACATGATAGCAATGAGCAAGCATTGATCTTAACTATCGTGTCTAAACCAACATGTAGATTGTGACGTGATAGCAGTGAGCAAACATTGATCTTAACTATCGTGTCTCAACCAACATGTAGATTGTGACTTGATAGCAGTGAGCAAGTATTGATCTTAACTATCGTGTCTCAACCAACATGTAGATTGTGACTTGATAGCAGTGAGCAAGTATTGATCTTAACTATCGTGTCTCAACCAACATGTAGATTGTGACTTGATAGCAGTGAGCAAGTATTGAACTTAACTATCGTGTCTCAACCAACATGTAGATTGTGACGTGATAGCAGTGAGAAAGCATTGATCTTAACTATCGTGTATCAACCAACATGTAGATTATGACTTGATAGCAGTGAGCAAGTATTGAACTTAACTATCGTGTCTCAACCAACATGTAGATTGTGACGTGATAGCAGTGAGAAAGCATTGATCTTAACTATCGTGTCTCAACCAACATGTAGATTGTGACTTGATAGCAGTGAGCAAGTATTGATCTTAACTATCGTGTCTCAACCAACATGTAGATTGTGACATGATAGCAGTGAGAAACATTGATCTTAACTATAGTGTCTCAACCAACATCCATATTGTAACGTGATAGCAGTGAGAAAGCATTGATCTTAACTATCGTGTCTCAACCAACATGTAGATTGTGACATGATAGCAGTGAGCAAACATTGATCTTAACTATCGTGTCTCAACCAACATGTAGATTGTGACATGATAGCAGTAAGAAAGCATTGATCTTAACTATAGTGTCTCAACCAACATGCATATTGTGACGTGACAGCAGTGAGCAAACATTGATCTGAACTATCGTGTCTCAACCAACATGCATATTGTGACGTGACAGCAGTGAGAAAACATTGATCGTAACTATCGTGTCTCAACCAACATATCGATTGTGACGTGATAGTAGTGAGAAACCCTTGACGCAGATTGTGACAGAACATACGAAACTATGTGCCGTTCTTAAATTTCGAAAAATACCACATAATTAACGTACATTGATATCACTACGTCTTAATTTGAATCGGCCAAATTACCTAAAAAGTCCGCGATTATTCGCAATGACAGCACAAAGTGATAAAATCAAAGTTAACAATCGATTTTCCGCCGAGACTCATCTGTCAATTCAAACAAACAACTGTGTGGTTTTTAAAGCTTTTTTGATGTTGAAGGCATTCTGCCGTTGAAAAAAGTTGAAAATATATTAAAACACGCCTTCGTCTACGTGTTTCTGGTTGAGAACAGAAGCCTCTTGAATGGCGGTCAACGTGATTAGATTTTGGTTACTAGACCAGGCGCTTTGTTTCGTATGAAATGATGTCAGCTTTTTGGTTGCTAATTTTTGAGAATTTTCACCAAGACAAAAGCCAAATTTGGCATACACTTGGTGTCTATTACGAAACTGAACCATTCGTGATTCCGTCAAGGGATATTCTACAATGTCCGTGTAGTACGAAGAATAGAAAATCATGCCCTATGTCTGTTGTGTTGTACTATGTGGTACACAATGAACAGGGTTATATGGTGGAATATCAGTCAATGTCTGGATAGACTCATTAATTAGTTTTTACCAAAGTTTATGCTAAATGCTTCTTTTAACATGGTGAAATTTCTGAAAATTAAGCGGCCAAAAAAAGGCCCAGCAACCTCCACTACAGGGGAACTGCATAGATATCAATGGTATCTTTCGGTAGCTCCCCTCTAGTGACGTCATAAAACGCGTTAGTTTAAGTGGAATTGCAAGAACCACAGGCGTCGCAATGAAAATTGGAATGGTGTAAATTGAAGCTATCAGTGTCCCCGATACACATACAATTTTAGAAAACCTCTTTACAATTTTTTTTATATGTTCGACTATATAATTCTAATTCTATTTTTTTCAGTGGACAACCTCAAAACGGTCTACTGTCTCTATTCACTGGTCGATTGAATCAACAAAGTGCTGGAGTTGTGGGTGAAATTGATTTGGAACCTCAAACTATCAGTGAAGAATATTACCGTAGTAACACTCTATTCAGAAACTTCAGAGATTTCAGAGGAATGGGTATCGGAGTAAGTCTTTTCATTATAATAAATGAGAGTATAAACTAGCCATTTAAAGAATTTTGACCTCTGCTGTCACCCATTTTGGTTTTTATAATTGTGTAATGATAGAGATATTATTGTTTAATAATTTTGTATTTTAAACTTAATGAGGCTATCAAATGAGGCTGATCATTCTCCCCTCCACATGGGGTCCAATGTCAAATGCATGTGGTGGGGAGAATGATCAGCCTCATTTGATAGCCTCATTAAGTTTATAATACAATATTATTAAACAATAATATTTCTATCATTACACAATTATAAAAACCAAAATGGGTGACAAACATCATTCTTAGGTACATTCAGCTGATCACCAATTTCACATTTTGTTGTCATTTTTAATTAATATTTTACGAAATTTAACTTTTCATGTGGCATGGTTTACAGACAGTTGTAGTCACGAACAACTAACATAATGTGCTGTTTGAAAACTTAACCAATTTATAATGGCCAACTTTACGGTGATATGTTGCAAAGAGCTAATGGAACTTTAACGGTGGACCGTTTCGGGATGATTTCTACTCATTTTATTTTTCAGCTCTGTAGTTCAGTCGAGGGCGGAGACAATTCCAATTTCAACCCATTCTTCCAGTTACCACTCACACCAGCCAGACAAACCTGTGAAATGCCTGTATTATGTTGTAAACTAGGCCTTTCAAGAGACGTCTCTCCTGGAAAATAAATTCTGTTCATCACAGCACAACATGTTTCACGATTCCGAAAAATGGTTTAAATATAATTAATCACAATTTTTGAATGAGCTTGAACAATATTCATTATCAATTTTTGAAAATCAATTTGTTTGAAAGTATTAAATCACCCACCACTCTTTCTTTCATCTCCTTATTCTTCTTCAATTTCTACACACTTTTGCCATACAATGTCTATGCATCTTAAAGCGAAAATATTTTCCCAATTCCCAATGTAACCTTTCACATTTACAGCATTTTCTTTTATATGTCAACGTACATTTCTGAAAGTAAATGGTCGTCCCACTTACCGTCAGTCTATCATGTTGTTGGTCGGTCCATCTATTTACATTTTAGCTGATCACCAAATTACACCTCACAAAATTGCTGAAATTGATCATTAATTATACTCTTTTTGACGATTTTTTTAGTTTTAAATTTGACTGAAAACATGCCGGAGGTTATGGATACCATACTTCTGGTGATACGACAGGCTTTCAAGTGAATAGTTGCTGTGGGCGTATTTCTCTCTTTGCTTACTACGTTTTAAGGTATGTATGTTGCGAATCTAGGGCCAGGTGCGTCCGAAATGGCCAGAAGTATTGACCACAAGTACGCACGAATATCGCCTTTGGGTGTAACCGGATTTTTTTCCAATTGATTTTAATTAACGTATGATGAATTAGTATCTAATTAACTTTGATTCGAGGATAGCCAGGACCAGGTGTGCCTACAAGATTCTTCAAGGTTGATGAATAATTGACCTACCCTGTAACGTCAGGTGCCATGTCAGGTGTTTTATGCCCTAAGACCTTACCTAAGATGTTTGTGAACACCTTGGAATTTCACGTCATCTTTCCATCGTGTACCACTTAGCAAGGTCTGTATGTCTGCATTGTCAAACTCGTTGCATAGTAAAACATCGTTTTCCTTCCGCCTTTTTGGTACATGTGTTCTTTCCAATAACACAATCGACCAAACTATCACCTTCTGCATTCTTTTGTGAAAGCAACATCTTCAGCTCTTTGAGATCACGAGTCGTGTTCAGAGATGAAGATGGTGAAGAAAAATAGAGCATACTCATCACATATTGGACAGACAATGCTGTACAAAATGAAGCAAACTATGCCTAGGTAATTTCATGACGAAATATCTTTGACTTTAATTTAACTAATGAATCAGTTATTAGTTTAATTAAAACTCTGTACAATCTCAAGGAAGGATAGTCTTCGAATACCTCGAGGTCATAAAAAGACCATCACTATATTCATCATTGACGTTGACAGATTTTCCTCGAAGATTTCCTCGTTTACAACATTTACCCAGAAGTCATAAAACACTACCTATTTCCCAAAATCGGACCTTTGGATTGATTCAGTTCTAAAAATTATTTTTAACTCACTTCACCTATCGACTTTGATGATGACTTCCATGTTAGCAGTAGTTATCTTCATTGGCATCGCGTCTGTTAATGCACAATGGAATAATTGGGCGGGAGGTTTCAATCCAGGATTCTCCCTACCACAGTCTAATGGTGAGTATTGTTTGCTTCAGTAGATCCAGGTGAGCACAGAATAGGTATTCGAAAAAGTGTCATAGAACAAAGCTTGTTGCTCGTTACCTAGTCTCTGACAGTTATACTTCTCTACAACATATTCTTACGTAGTCTCTGGTAGTTATTATAACGATCTGGAACTTGTTGAACCTGGCCTCTGATAGTTATTATACTAGTCTGGAATCTAATGACTCTTACCTAGTCTCTGATAGTTATTATACTGAATCTTACTGATATTTACATAGTCTCTGATAGTTATTATTCTAGTCTGAAACTTACTGATATTTACCTAGTCTCTGATAGTTATTATTCTAGTCTGAATCTTACTGATTTTTACCTAGTCTCTGATAGTTATTATACTAGTTTGAAAATTATCTTTTACCATTTTTTCTGTTACAGCAAACCAGCCTAATGAAGTCAGTTGTCGAAGTGAATTTCAGAATAATCAACTTGAAGTTAGCATCAGACCACGACAATCTTTCTTTTTCGTGAGTAAATTATTTTCAGATAAGTTAAAAGGAGGCAGTCTTCTATTGAGGCAGTAATCTTCTTCTCGTGTAGTTTTTATGCGTTATGAATCTGTCAGCTGATAAAGCTGAATGATTATACAAATAGCTTAAATTGAGCTCTATCAGCTTGTAAAGGAAATGTTGAGATGATTATTCAGATGGCTTAAATTTAGCTCTATCAGCTTGCAAAGAAAATATTTAGATGACTAAACAAAAAGCAGAAAATGTGTTCTATCAGCTAGTTAAAAAGTATTTATGACTATACAGAAAGCTGAAATTGAGCTCCATCAGCTCGTTAAGAAACTATTTAGATGACTTTACAGAGAGCTGAAATAGGGCTCTATCAGCTGGTAAAGATAATATTTAGATGACTAAACATAAAACTGAAATTGAGTTCTATCAGCTACTTAAAAAGTATTTATGACTATACAGAAAGCTGAAATTGAGCTCCATCAGCTCGTTATGAAACTATTTAGATGACTTTACAGAGAGCTGAAATAGGGCTCTATCAGCTGGTAAAGAAATATTGTTCTACCAGCTTCGCAATCGACGCGGTAGTGTTATTTCTTACGGTGCACTAACCCAAATAAAGAATGGGCATAGTACTAAGACGTGCCGGTAAAGATACTATCTACTATAATTGGCGATTATATAGGACGTAAATCTCCTAAAAATGATATACAATTTATATTCATAGGCTGGAGGATCGGGGTATACTATTGAAGTAACAGTAACATCGTACGATATTGAAGGACCATATACCATCGCAGTCACCGATTTATCAACTGATAATCCCGTTTGTTTGGAATCCGATCTGGGTTTTATCGCTACCAAGTAAGTATTGAGAGGTTTTGTTTCATAGAGATAAATCCTTGTATACAGAAGCCATAAAGATGCACTATCCTTTCATAATCGTGAATTTTGGCACGCTCGTGTTCATTTTAATCTCGTAATAAAGCAAAATTTGGAGACATATTTTTACCCAGGAACAAGTTTTGTCAATCGTTTTGTAACGTTTGTTGACGATTACCCTTGTTCTCGACCAACCCTGCTCGCTACCAAATCATCGTCGTTGTATTTTTTGAAGATTTTTGTCAGTAGATGGTCAGTAAATAATGGTCTAGACGCCCATTACAATCGTCAGATGAAGATCGTCAATAAGTAACAATCTACTCGTCTTTAACTGGTCGACCAGGATGTCTTATGACTTATCATTTCATTTCATTTTGCGATATTTTCAGTGGACAGTCACCAAATAATGGTCTACTCTCTCTATTCACTGGTCAATTAAGCCAGCCACAAAGTGCCGGAGTTGTTGGTGAAATCGATGTGGTCCTTAGTGATCAAACTACTGAAACCTTCATCTACAATACACTTTACCGAGATTTCAGAGAATTTAGGGGTTTAGGAGTTGGTGTAAGTAAACAGTTTGTTTTGAGAATTTTGGTACAAGTCACATACTTACTTATCAGTACGAATATCATTATAATGCAGCTCTGGGCTCTGTTTTCTTGTCATTTTCTCAGTGGTGAAGCCATCCTCCAGAGACTAGGGGTACAAATACAGAACAGTCTGATTCAAAGGGGGTACAACAAGAATATGTATTTCTCTTGCTTTTGTTTTGAATTGTCATCTAAAATTTTATTATGCTCGACTATATTGCTCACATATAAAGACATTCAAACCAACCAAAAATTTATCAGATTAATGATATGTGAACCCTTTTGCTCTATTTTCAGCTCTGTACCCAAGTTACTGATAATGAAAGTGTGGCCAATTTCAACCCATTCTTCCCGGTTCGCAGAAATACAAGACAACTTTGTGAATATCCTGTTTTATGTTGTAAACTAGGTTTGTCTTCTACAAACTGATCTGAAACACTAATAATAATAGATGAGGTTATCCCACCAAGTCTCAACACACACTTAAAAATGAAATATAAAAGAAAATACTGAGTAAAGTAATTCAACATATGTTGCAATCAAAGCAAAGAGATAAATAATTTGTTTTCGGTGGATAGGTTGATTTTTATATGCTCCGTGATATAGTCTTATAAAATAAAAAATCTCAGTACATATGTAATTTTCGGTACATAAGTAATTTTCGGTACATAAGTAATTCTCGGTACATAAGTAATTCCCAGTACATAAGTAATTCCAATACATTCTCGGTACATAAGTAATTCCCAGTACAGTAGATATTCCCAGTACATTAGATATCTTGGGTACTTAAGTAATATTCTCGGTATATAAGTAATTCTTAGTACATTAGTACATAAGTAATTCTTAGTACATAAGTAATTCTTAGTACATAAGTAATTCTTAGTACATTAGATTTTCTCGGTGCATTTCGTGATTTCTTTAGGGGTATTGTGCTCTTTGGGGTTAACACTTCTCGACCTGAAAATAAACCTATGCCCATGGTTATTATCTAAATATCTATCTGAGGTCAAATAGAAATCAGCAAATTACAGACAGTCTTACTATTTGATATTTATATCTATCGATTAAGTGACAGTTTGTATGTATACATTTGAACAGTCTAATGCTATATATTTGGGTTTTCAAGAATGAAAGTTATCTGTTATTTCTCTTTGACCATCGTTAAAGTTTATCAGAATAATGTGATCTTCAGGTTTTTTTTAGGTATCCATTTTATAAGTTTTGCTATTGAATATTTAAATTTGGTACAAATAAATATTTCGAAACATGCTATTATCTTTTGTTATCATTGCTGCCTTCCAACCACGATAATCATATAGCTATCCAAGCAGCTATTTTCAATACGATAGATGAACACTGGATGAGACTCTTTACCTAAGAGGTTTCATAGACCAACTTAATACTTGCCTACTCGAGATTATTGTTACAGTGAGGTAAAAACCATTACTCTCGCTTGAATGCAAGACCCTTTAGAGGATCTGAAATGAAAGTCTTGACAGATCAGACAAACAATTCTGTCTGTATTAGCCTATATTTTTATGACTACCATTACCTCCAGATTCCTTGAATGGGAGTGGCTCTTTAGACCAGCCTGAAGGTTCACGTTTCAAACATTGCATATGTCTGGATAAAGCCCTCAATTTTTCAACTGTGCTTCTCCCTGTCAGTGATGCGGGACAGATGGGCTGACTTGGAAAAAGCACATAATCGTTCGGATGGGTTTGCAGACTGCAGGATGCATTAACAGTTGAAATCGGAAACGACTAGGCTAATGCAAATATTTTGGCAATATTAAGTGCAGAAAATATAATAGTAATCAAATACCTCTCCCGAGAAAAAAGACAATCGCTCGTAAATGAAAACCATCGACGAACCAAGGCAAAACTTTTTTCAGTCTTTGTTTCTGTTACTTCCCTTACTGAAAGAATGGCCTGTGGCCCCCTGGAAAATATTTTCCCCCTCCTCGGCCCCCTCATCTGATGTTTCCTAGAAACGCCACTTCTACCAGGGGTTTAACTATGGAATCAGCACCATGATATATTAAAGGTATTAGGAGTTTTCAATATACAAAAACAAGATCAATAATGTCCATAATTCCTACAGAGTTCAAAAGAATATATCCTGACATTGTAAATATAGGCCAACTAGATTGTAGATCATAATTAGGACCATTAGGTAGGGGTGTTAAGGGCCACAGTGTTAAAAGGGGGATGAAGGGGCTCACTGGCAATTCTTTCTCAATGTATTATGAGACAATTTGAAAACAGTGGGGTAGGGGTAAGGCCGGTCAGCCTCTTTCGCCCATAATACGAACCAATTTCATCGTTATTTCACTAAGTAAAGGGAAATAACTCAAGAATAAGACAAAAATATCAATCGATATTCAACGTAACAACACCGATCTGAGTCTGGGCGCAACTACACCACTAACTTAATAGGTAGACGCAAAAGGCTGATTTTTCTCAACTTCCACGTCAAGTGAAGAGAAAGAGGGTGCAGGCATTGACAGAAACATCTCAAAATATACCAATTGTAAATTCCACACGTTTATTAAGTGTTATTCAGTTTAAATGGCTCTAATTTATAGATCTATGTCTGGATAATTACCCAGTCGAAAACTGAAATGCAATGAATGGAGTTTTATGGGCAGAAGAAAGGCACCGCCATGCAGGGTGCAATAAAGGGAATCTTGCAGCGACATTGGCCTGCTCTTTTTCGATTTCCAACTGTCGAGGGATCTTTAACGTGTGCAGCCTGTAGCACACGGAGCCTCGGTTAATTGTCTCATCCGAACGACTGGACGCTTTTTCCATGTCAACCCCTCTTACCAGGGGGAAACCGGGTTGAAAAGGTATTATCTCGAAAATCGAAATTAGTATCAAGAATGTGGCATCACTTGATAAATTAAAATGATCAAATGATATTATATCCCTCTCCCTGGTTTTGAGCCTATCCAATAATCCAAAGTTTCGCAGCCGCCATAACCTCATATTGAACATCTTCACGAGATAATGTACATGACGGCCTTCACCAAGATGTGCGATGGGCTGTCAAAACTAAGCTATTTCCGTTCAGTAGAACTCCGATCTAAGGTTATTTTACAACCAACTTGTCATTTTTATATGTTTACATATCTATCTTATATAATTACTTATAGTTATTCATTCTAATTAAAATTCGACATGACCGTAATTAATTAATCCTTAATTAAAATTAAATTAATCATTTTAGTAGGCATTCTAATCTACCACGTCTCTAGGCGATAAGGATTTTAGTTCACCCGGAAAAGTATGATTTTTTGTGTTATTTCTAACACGAATTAAATTCATAAAATTAGACCGGATATACGCCCACATCTACGCATAGATCGGAAGTCAATTTTATAATAGTTGCAGTGGGCCTACATCTTTAAAAATTATACGTATATTATTTTAACAATAACTTGCAGTGTAACAGGCTTTGTTCCTGCAATTTCACACGAAGAAATATTCTTATATTCAAAGAATCTTTGTTTTCTCGTTATAATGGCGTCATGAATCTTATAAAACCTTTACTTATGTATCGTCTCCCCTATCATATTGACGGCAAAACCTTTCATGTCGAATGACTATGAAATATTCTTTTAGTTGAAGTTTCTTGACATCACCGGAAATACCAGAAAGTTTAAGTGGTCGCTCTTACTACAAACATGTTCGTATGATATAATAATATTACGTTGTATGAAAAAAATACAAAAAGAACAAAAAAATTTGTGTATTGTGTGCTTTTTGAAAAAGTAAAGATTACCTTAAACCAAGAATAGTGTGTTATAATAGTTGTACTGCCATGGGCAATAGATCAACACATTACATGTTACCTTATAACAAATATCATGCACAAGAAGGGAAGTAAGGTTTTTTTTTTAATTAACAGTTGACCATAAGGCGAAGATAATATTAGCTAATAATGGGTAATGGACCTAGTATATATACCAATGGTCAGCAACACTGACCACTATCATTTCACAAACATCCACAATGAATCCACAAGTATTACTAGTAACTATCATAGGATTTATCCTGCAGAATGTCCAGGGTCAGATGTCCTGGATGAACATGCGTAATATGAATATGAGAGGGATGAATCCGGCTATGAGTTTAGGCCTCAGTGGTTTACAAACTCTGGGTGCAGCTTCTACTTCCGGTATACAGTCTGGACTTGGCATGAACCGTAAGTAACGGACGGTACTTTTCAGGCGGTGGTGAAATTTTTTACCGTTTGCTAGAGACAGTCATAAATTCAAGGTCTATAGTTTTCCTGATGTGTTTTAGCGTACGTTAATACAAAGGCGACTGTTCATTAGGTAATCTGGAATACTACAATTAGTCAATGAGTCCATATAGCTAATAATGCTATAATGCTTTTATATATATAGTATAGTATTGACTATTTGGCATCCCTTTCAGAGAGTCAACATAACTAATATTGTATATTTTTGGTTTAACAACTTCTATTCACAGGGAAATTATATTCCAATAATCTATATCCTTGTATTTTATCTTGAATTTTAATTTTTGACTGAAAAATCCCTTAAAGATAGTTCACATTTCCAATAATACATATCCTTACACATTATATTAAATTTCAGTCGGTAGTGCTACCCCAGCATCCCAGATGATGATGACTTGTGTTGGTAAACAACCTGCTTCCACTGGCGGTCAGAATATCATCGCCGTCACTATCAAACAAGTCACTGTCAGCAACAACAACAATAACATGTTCGCCGTAAGTTCTTTCTATTTTTTTCGGACGGACAGTAGCACAATCACATGTAGTATTGGAATTTGCTTGGTTACGTTGAATTGATGGTGGCCATGGGTTCTAATCTAGGTCGGCGCGTGAAAGTCTGGTCACCATGAATAAATCATCTTTCCTAATTATTCCAATCGACCAAGTTGTAAATGGGTACCAATAATCTGGGAAAGGAAAATAAGGATCCTCGTGAACCTAGGTTGTTATCCTTAAGAAAATGGTTGTGTTTTGCTTTCGCCTGCCAGTGACGCAAATGGCTGGTGTTACGTTAAAAGTCAAGTTGGACCCAGCAGAAGCAATGATAGGCCTTTCCATCTGGATATATCTATACCAAACTAATATCTTAAATATTTTTCAGTTATTTAACCCAAGACCATCTAGCGAAATAAGGGCCGATGTTTCCATTACATCACGGGATATTGATGGCATGTTTTCACTAGTAGTAACAGAAAGAGCACGAGATGAAAGCACCTGCACCACCGATGGTATGGGAGAATTAGTTGCAAGGTGAGCGTACTCTTGTTTGATTAAGTCTGTAGCGTAATGGAGGCAACGACAATCGAACTTTAGAAGTGTCTCTTTTTCAATTATGTATTTCAAATCCACCTATACACATTTGTCAGACCCCCAGGTTAACTTAGATCTCACTACGCACTGTTGACATGATTCTAGATGATTCAAAAAGGAAAACCATCACCGAGCATTCATCATTGACTCGCTTCTCTCAAACATGGTCGTTTCCATCATAATAATGGACACAGACATCCCACGACTATCTTCACATTTTTAAATTACAACCTATAGGATAATGATAAAAGATAAGAATTAAAGGTAAAAATGTTTGCGACATAGACAAACAAATGGCAGTAAGTTCCATACATAGGTCTTCACATGAACTTCAATCTAAATCACGGTTTTCATTTTCGAATCTTATTCAAACATAATCTTACTTTCAGTGCCAGTGGTAGCGGTAACAATTTTGCTCGACAACTAGGTATGTTTGCCATGGCACCTCAATTCGCTGCTCAACTCAATTCGGAGAGAAGTAGCGGTATTTTACGGGATGTCGACATTAGACCAGGGGAGAAGAAAGACCTGTCAATCTCAGCTTCCAGTCTACCTTTTAGTAATATGAGAAATTTTGCTGGTCACGGTGTTGCTGTAAGTAGAATGATTTCTTGTCCATTCTCTGTACTTGTCCACCAATCGAGCACCGCATTACTCTAAGTTCTGTTAAACGAATTTAAGAAACATTTTAAAACCATCTTTGCCGATGAGAATCTTAATTCGAAGCACACCATTTCTCTATCAACAAGTGCTGAGAAATAGGCGACATTCTGGAGAAGCTTCTCTCATTGTACTTAAGAATCTCGCGTGGTACGTCTTCAAGATTTTCCAGAAAAGTTACAAGAAAAGTTAAAACATGTAGATTTAACCCTCGTCACCACTGACCATGGCCTTGGGTGGGGATTTGAACCTACGACACCGAATAGTCGAGTATTAGGGCAAGACAATGGAATAATGAAAATAAAAGCTATATGTCTTTTAGTTAATCATAAAATGATCTTGTAAAAACCTCTTTACAATCCCTTAGTATCCTCCGAACACATGTCGACCATCTGTGTGACACTAATCACTGATTATTTATTATTATTATTATATATTATTCTTTGTAGTTATGTGGAGTAGTAACACCAGTGGGAGATATCGTGGTCAACACCAATCAGTTTGGTTTCCCAATTGGAAATGCTCAACAGATGAATACAGCCGCTGTCTGTGAAGGAGAAATTCCTCTATGCTGTAAATTGGGATACGATAATGTTGAAGCAATGCCTTTTTAAAGACATATAGTCCATAAGTCAATCGGCTGTACACTGCCAATTCTTTTATTCAAATTAGCTATATTTACAGTCTATAATATCAAATATTTTTGCAATAGTCTAAATCGTTTTTTCCAATATTCATCAAACTACAATTACTACTGTTATCCTAATATTTACTACTGTTATCCTACAATTACTACTGTTATCCTACAATTACTACTGTTATCCTACAATTACTACTGTTATCCTAATATTTACTACTGTTATCCTACAATTACTACTGTTATCCTACAATTACTACTGTTATCCTACAATTACTACTGTTATCCTACAATTACTACTGTTATCCTACAATTACTACTGTTATCCTACAATTACTACTGTTATCCTACAATTACTACTGTTATCCTACAATTACTACTGTTATCCTACAATTACTACTGTTATCCTACAATTACTACTGTTTCTACAATTACTACTGTTTCTACAATTACTACTG